TGGGACCTGGGGTCAAACTGGGTCCAGGACAGAATTGTCCAGGGGTCCCTGCCTCCCTTACTTGTCCAGCCCAGGGCCTCCCAATTACAAGAGGAAGGGAGGCAGCGCTGAGCCCAACCCTCCCATCAATCAAAGCTGCCAGAAGAGGTGGGCTTTCACCACCAGGTTCCTATCAACAGACATGGAGCAGAGAGAGCCCACTGAGTATTCCCACGACAAAGGCCAGAGTGGCAGTGTGCTGGGCTCCTGGGCTAGGTAGGCATCAATCTTTAGCCTTTAAGCCCTTGGTGCAGCGCCCAGCCCCCCAGGAGGAACAGCCCTTGTGGAAGCAGGCCCAACAGGAAGCTCGTGGGCTGTCCCACTGAAGCAGCCCCATTGCTCTGGCTTCCTCTTCTGTATCTTCATGGGCAGAGTGAACACAGAACATTCAGGACCAGAGTCGTTCTTGCCTTTGGAGGGAAAAGGACCCCTTTATAAATGGGATGCAAGCTGGCTAGTCTCCTTGCCAGAAGAACATGCATGCAAAGCCCCACATAAACATGTAAACACCCTCCTGTGATGATCCCTAATCCAGTCCACCACCTTCACTTTGGGGCCCAGAAAGGGAAAACATCTGCCCAAAATAAAGACGCCATCAATATCTACATTTAAAAGTGAATTCGGCTCGAATATGCTGAGTGAAAGAACAGTCACAAAGGATCACATATTGTATGATTCCGTTTATATAAAATGTTCAAAATAGGCAAATCCATAGAGATTACTGGTGGCCTAGGAATGGGAAACGGGGGGGAGGGATGGATGCCCAAGGAGTGTGGAATTCCTTTTTAGAATGATGAAACAATTCTAAAATCTCTTGCGATGATGGTTGCACAACTGGAATGTAAGCCACTGAACTGTATAGTTTAAGTGGGTGAACTGCACAGTATGTAAATTACATTACAATAAAGCTGTTTTTCAAAAGTGCATTCAGGTTGCAAATGACCACACATCTGAGCTTTAGTCCCACTCAAGGGGCAGAAAGAACCCTTGAGGGCGGAGAAAAATCAGGGCAGGGTCCCTGACTGGCGTATGGATTGGCCAGGAAGCATTCCAGAAAGAATGAGATTATATATATAATCTTGGTCTTCAGGACAATGAAGCATCACGGACAGTTTTAAGCAGTAGAGTGACATGATCAGATCTGCGCTTTAGAAACATCCCTCTGATCTACTGAATTGTACATTTAAAGCAGGTACATTTTAGGGTGTGTAAATGAGACCTCAATAAAGCCAAAAAATCACTCTGGGGCTTGAGGAGGACAGACAACGGCAGGAGTTAAGCGAGAGGTGCAGGGCCATCTGCGGGGAGGTGGGGAAACTGGCTTGGGGATGTGGGGAGACTCGGGATGTCCTCCCTCCAGGTAAGGAGAACCTGGTGGAACTCGGTTCCAGAGCCCAGCAGCCAGCCAGGCAGCTGCTCCACTGTCGGGCGATGGAGGACTCACTGTTCTCCCCTTCGAAGAGAAATGCACTTCAGAAACATGTTTCCAAAAAACGTTGCTAAGGGTTTTATTTCTAACAAGAGGAAAATAATAAAATAAAATTAAAATAGGCTTCAGCTGGAACCAAGTTTCTTGTTTTGCTTTTTGTTTTCTTTTGAACAAATTAATTACACACCAACAATCTTGTTTTATTACAACAGGAACCCAGGAGGAGGAAAGGAGACGGGGCGGGACGGGGAGGGAAGGTTCGGTGGCTGTGAGGACAAGCACCAAAAGCTTTCTTCAGATTGCAGGGAGCCCTGCTAGCTCCCCGACCAAATCATTTAAAAGACACTGTGAGCACAGCTATGTGGTTTCCTCCTCCTGGGTGGATCAGTCAGGAGAAGGGAGGAGAAGGGAGAGGAAGGCGAGAGGACAGTGAGGAAGGGCAAGGGGATAGTGAGAGGGAGGGGAGGTTAGTGTGGCCTGACCTGGCCTGGGCTGGAACTGGGGCGAGGGAGAGGAGAGTCTCCGAGTTTGCTATGCACTGGCCTTGTCTCTGGAACGGTGCTGGCCCAGCCCCAGCCACCCCTGTCCCCCTGCCCATCCATCTGTCCATCTGCCTCAGGTGTCTGGGAATGCTGGTTAGAGGCTACCAGGGAGGGGGACTCCAGGGGCCGGCCCCCAGGAGCTGAGGTCTGAACAATACCTTGGAGTCAGAATATAAAAGTCAAGGGACTCAGGGGTGGGCTGGGGTGGGGGGTGGCCATCCCCCCTACTCGCCCACCTCCCAAGAAGCAGGCTTGATGGTCAGAAAGAGGATCCTTGAGGCCAAGGGGGGGTCTCTGTCGGGGTCTGTGCCAGGCTCAGCCACTGTCACGACTGTTGCTGAGGCGGCTGCTGTGGGCAGGGCACGGGCAGCCGTGGAGTCGGAGTGGAGAAAGGGGCTGAGGGGCCCGAACTGGCCCCTGGGGCTGGCTCCAAGCCATTCTGGTTCTCTTGGGTGCTGGGGCTGCCAGTGGTGGGCAGGGGTTGGGGAGGACCCTCAGCCCCTGTCTCCTCCTCCAGCTCCTCCTCCTCCTGGGCCTCCTCGGCCTCTGGCCCTGAGCTCCGGACCCTCTTTGGCTCTAGCTCCTCTCGGGCTGGGTCATCACCCTCCCCACCCCGATCCACCTTCCGCCGCCGCCGCCTCTCCAACGCCCGGCCCCGGCCCCGGCTCCCATGGCGCTCTGCCTTCTCCAGCTGTGATCACAGATGGGCAGAAAGAGGTGTGGGCCAGTGGTCAGGCCTGGGCTCCCTGGCTGCTTGGCCTGACCTCCTGGCCCTGCCCACAGTCCCTTCCTCACCTCCAGAAGTGTGCGGATCCGCTCCAGGTCTGGAGGCTGCCCAGCCTGCAGCAGCTGCCAGATGCTGTGGTTCTCATCCAGGGTCACCTCAAGCAGGTCCCCCTCCAACATGAGCTCCTCCAGGGGGGCCCGGGTTGCCTCAGGCAGCTCCAACACGGGGCCAGTCAACTGTGGCAACAGCGAGGACAGCAGCTCCAGGTCTGGGGGCGTTGTGGAGACAGGCTGGGTTAGAGGATGCCCCTGATTGCCTCCCCACCACCACGACAGAGCCCAGGACCACGTGAGTCAAGTCTGCTGACATGCAGTACACAGCCTGCCCGTATCTACACCTACCTCTCTTACCTGAGCCTTCCCCTGGGGCTACCTTCTCAGGACTGGTCACGCTGTCTCCGTTCTCCAACCCCTGAGCCTGGCAGGGAGAGCAAGAGTGGGGAAGGGTAACTGAAGAACCAGGCTCCGTTCTTCCCCACAACCCGACACTTGGGACTCCCCACTCCTGGAGTGGAAAGGCAGACACGGGCTGCCAGCGGGGAACAGTCCAGGAATCTGGACAGAATATAGAATGGGGCAGGGTGGGTGGGCCAAGGGAGGTGGGAGGTCAGAGATCAGGGACAGGGCTGGAGCCTACATAGGGGTGGGGGCTAGAAAAAGGAATTTGGGGACAACAGCTGGGCTGGGCAGCTCACCTTAGGCATATCCTTGCCACTGCCTTCTCTGAGAGGGTCAGAGGCAGGGGCTGAAGGGAGGGTAGGGGGCTCCTCGGGCCTGGGTTCAGCCTGTAGCCGCTGGCGCAGTTCAGTCAGCCGTCCCAACAGGGCAGAAACGTCCTCAGAGGCCAGAGCCTGCCTGGCACGGCCTTGCCAGCTGATGGCCCTCTCTGTGAGGCACTGCAAGGCCTCGCCCTCAGGCAGCCGCACGGGCAGTCTCTGCAGGGCTACCAGCAGGGCCAGGATGGTCTCCAGGCGCGGCCGCCGGGAGCGCATACACAGCGGACATAAGAATTTGGTGTCCCACTCCCACCAGGCCAGCAGTGGGGATGAGGGGGGACTGGGCCTCAGGGAGTTGAGGAGGCGGGGTACCGACACACATCGCCCGTGGAACCAGTCCTGACACAAGTCACACCGCAGAGCTCCCGCCCCGGCTGGCACCTGCCCACACACACAGATGGAGTTTGCCGAGGCGGCCGTGGTCGATGACGCCAGGGGACTGGGCTTGGTGGAGTTGGTGCGTCGCAGCTGCAGGATGCCCTCCTTCTCCTTCTGTTCCCCCTCCTTGAAGGCCACGATCTGCCATGCCGTGCCCAGGACAGGGGAGAGCAGGTCAGCAGCCCAGCCCCTCCCTTGTCTGATGCCATAAACACCCCACCCCTAACCGGGAGAACTAGGCCCAGGGTGCAAGTGGTCTGCCTGTGGCCACCCAGCTCTCCCCATCCGGCCCAAGCTCCTTACCACAGAGCCTGGGTCCCTGAGGTCCTGCGCAGACAGCCCCAGCAGCTCTGTGTCAGACTTGTACAACCCCAGCTCCTTCTCCATCCACCGGCTGCGCTTGGTGCTGTCCGAGCCGGCGTCTGCACATGGGCAGAGCACCTGAGGCAGGCAGAGGGGGCATGATGGGCTTCCCCTGCCCCCCCCGCGTTAGAGTTTGAGGTTAGGTTTAGTGTTAGAGCTTAGGTTTAGGATCAGGGTTAGAGGGTTTGGTTAGCATTAGTGTTAGGGTTAGGGTTCGCAGTTAAGGTTAGAGTTTGAGGTTAGGGTTAGCGTTAGGGTTAGAGTTAGGGTAAAAAACAAAGTGATTGGATCTCACTTCAGTGATTGGGTTATAAAAACTGTGACTTCCACCTTGCAGATGCACAATTAACTTCCCCCGCTCCCTCTCCTCTTTCTCTCTCCTCACTTGGTTGGTCTGATGAAGCAAGCAGCCATATTATCAGGTGCCTTACGGAAAGGTCCACTTTATAACGAAACTGAGGGTGACCTCCCACCAACAGCTAGACAGAAACTGAGGTTCTCCGTCCAACAACCCACAAAGAACTGAATTCTGTGAGAGCCAGGTAACCTTGGATGCAGATCCTTCCCCAGTCAAGCCTTGAGATACACGACTACAGCACAGCTGACACCTGGATTACCGAATGTGAGAAACCCTGAAATAGAATTGCAGCTACGTTGTGCCCAGATTTGTGACCTACAGGATCTGTGGGATACTCATTGTTTTGTGCCACTAAGGTTTTGAAGTAATCTGTTACACAGCAGTACATAAGGAGTATAGGCCGGCATGGAGGTTATGCACAAGTTCAACAATATGGACTTTTGTCTAACAAGGCCAATCTGGCTATAGCACCAGAGTTGCCACCTGCCACAGCAGAGAGCAGCACTGAGCCCTGCTGTGAAGGATTTCCTGGGGAGTAGGATGATTACCTTGAACCCCTTCTGTCACGCAGCACAGGCTGTAGGTTCACAGAGACTTGGTGGGAATCCCAGCTCTGCCAGGCTGATCTGCCTGGGCCAGGTCTGCTTTTTGAGGAGTCTGTTTCCTGCATGTCTGACAGGAACTTCAAGTATCTCACGTGGAACTTGGCACCCAGGAGGGCTTCACAAGGATCTGCTCCCTTCCCTTTCCTGAAATCGGAGTGTCCCAGGAGCAGGGACCCTGTCTCTCTGCCTTGCAACCCCTCTTCAATCACAATTTCAGGACTTCCGGGAAGCATGGCCATTGTCTCCCCTTCAGGACCCCAGTGACCATGGACCTCAGATCCTATAACCCACTCCCATGGGGGAGCACACTTACCAATGAGCTTTATGCAACGAACAGAGTTCACATGCACAGTGTGGGGTTCCAACTGCTCTGGTCTTCCCCTTCTTAGCCCAGACTCTGCAGGCCTGACTGGAAGTGGGGACAGAGGACGCAGGCCTGGGCCTTGCTTTCCCTGTAGCAGCTCCCACTATGGGGAGCTTGGGGATGGGAGAGACAGACCTGTTAACCCTAGAGTGTTTCAGATGCCACAAGACACAGTGGAGGCACTAGGGAGTGGGAAGGAAGGGGTTGGTTGGGCCTGAGAGAAGGCGTTGGGGTTAGTTGTTAGAAGTGATGTCTCTTCCCATCCCCTTATCACCTGCAGACTCAGGAGCAAGGCTGGGGGGGGGGGGGGGGGGGGGGGGGGGGGGGGCAGT